TGGGTCCACTGAACTCCTCGTGCGAAATGAAGCCATTCTTGTCCTGATCCTCGTGTTGGAAGATCTCTTCGACGAGTTTGTCCTGATCTGGAAGATCCTTCACTCCTGCTTTCGCCGCTTCCGGCATCTGCTTCTTCAGGTATGAGCTCACCTGAAGACATGAAGACATCATCAATGAGACAACCCGTGAGACAATGGTCTCAATGAATGGCAACAACGCATACCTCTTCGCGCGACAGCTGGTTGTCATCGTTGGCGTCGATCTCGGCGAAGACATTGACAGGAGTGGGTCCGTCTTCGACGGCAACGCACTCCACTTCGAACACAAGTGTGGCCTTCGGTGGGATGCGGTCGCCGGCGCCGGCGTCTCCGTAGGCCAGGTGTGAGGGGATCGTCAGCTTTCGCTTCTCCGTGGGGCACATGTCGAGCAATCCCTGGTCCCACCCTTTGATCACTTGTCCGATGCCTAACTGAAACTTAAACGGTTCCGAACGGGAATAGCTGTGGCCGAAGACAATGCATTGATTCATATACTCTGAACAGACAATGGACACAATGACTGGCCATACCTGGAGTCAAACTCTTTGCCGTCCTCAGTGGTGCCCCTGTAGTGCATTGACAACATATCACCTTTCGATGACTTACGGCTGCAGTCATCCGGTTTGGACACCACTTCCACTTTGAGTTCTGCAAACGACTCGTCATCGCAAATGGCATGAGATATGAGACAAAAGAGGACACAAATTATGAATGATTTCATGTTTAGTTTATATTATGAATGAATCAAATGCTAAATAAACTAAATATAAGACTAATTAACTCGACGTAAGTTAAGTCCACGTGTGCTCTCAATTGTAACTCAATTGTGAATACAGTGTTAAATGCAGTGCAATGTTGTCCACACACTCTCGCACTGCCAAACCTGTTGTCAAACTATACGCTATCAATGAATGGCTCCCCTATTGCTTACAGCTGTTGGCAATGTTGTCATCTCTCACGCTATGCTCACATATTACGTAACAATTCACTTATAATTGTAAATAAATATTACATTCAATTTGAATGAAGGGTTCCGTGAAAATGAATTATTGCAACCAATATATACGAGTGCATAGATATGTGACCAGTGTGCTTTTTAATTAATCTGAGATTTAAATGACTGATTGTGTTATATTGCATAAGTGGTGGCAATAGTGATCTAATCGGTGGTGCATTTGGTGTAATCGTAAGACATGGCAAAGAGTGGTGACAAGAGAGATGTGATAACCTTTGAAAGCATTCAAGTGTTGTCTGCAAATGAATCCCAATTCATAAAACCCCACAGAATTCACTACAAACTGGTATTAATATCATG